TGAAGAGCAGGTGGGGATGAGCACAAGAGGAACAGTAGTGCTCACCACTATGCACGTAAATAACAACATAATATAACAAAAGGTATGGTCATAGCATGATCATAAATCAATTCATCATGTCACATCTCCAATAAATACGTCAATAATCTCACTCATGTGCACATCTATCATTAGCCATTGAAGTACATACAGCTCTCAACAATGGGAGTGCATACCGAAGGACATACAACTCTCAACGGTATGGCCTATCACTAGGACTAGGGAGACTGTCTCACAAGGCACCGTCGAAGGACATACAGCTCTCAACGAAGGGGACAACCATTCGAAGGACATCCAGCTCACATCGAAGGTTTCACAAATTCACAAGCATGATCTTACCAACCGAACAACAAATAAACTATTTACGGCATAGCAAATTTTCAAATAAAACCCACTTGGATACCGAGATATAGCCCAAGTCAAGGCTGAAGGAATTATGGCAAAAGTTCAGCCCGAAGAACCTACAACAATTATGATAGCCTATCAACTGACTATCCAATACAAAACAACACAAAAGGCACATATACTTAGCCGAAATTATATCGACTAAGTGACTCGTAGATTCCTTGACCGAGTTAAGTACTTTGGAGTGACTACTAGACCTGAACACAACTCAAATACCTCAAATAATATACATAAATCATGTCATCATCAATTAAATTCAACCCGAACCTAGACAACGGATAACCGAGCATTAAGACTCCAAAATAAACCAAATTCAGAATCTGGAGTTATATTAAACCAATCCACCTGAAACTTTACCACATCAGAGAGCATACAAAAACACATAACCTCACCAAGTTTTAGCCCTAAATTCATCGAGGAGCATTTTCAAATAATTAAAGCAAAAATAGAGTCAAAATCCGACGTTAACAGTTCATATAGCTACACTTCGAATTTTAATCCAAAATTTTTACACGACACATAATACCACAAAATAACATACTCCTCAACGTTTCAGCTTAAAACTCCAAGTGTACAATCTTTAATGAATTTTACAAAGTTCTGATTAGAAACCGATTTAATTAATTAAAATAGTTATAGATGGAGTTTCGACTTGAAAATAAATTTCACGGCATTCGGACAATCACACGATTTATCATGAATTAATTATGATTCAGCAGCACACTCGGTTTAGAAAATTCATAACTCGGCATATACACATTTAAACGACTCCAAACTAAAACCAATAAATCAAGGACAACTCCAAGTACCTATAACTCCAGAATTTCCACGAAAAATACAACTCGAAACTCAGTTCGATAATAAACCAAAGTGACGACAATCACTTTGATATCCAAAACGCATATAAATTCAATATACGACACAATAACATATCCAAAGCACGTAATTGACTCGTATTTCACACGTTCAGCAACTTAGCATGTATACGAACACTTAAACACATATAGGGGCAGAATAAATAAATCGAGGGTTAGCCCGGGTACCGTTCTCGGGACGGGATTACGAAACGGGGCTAAAATGCAGGCTCGACAACAAGGGGGTGGCTTTTCGAACGTCTGCGGACGACTTAGCGGGGCTGCTGAATGCTGAAATGGGAGCCGGACGTACGAACAACAAGTGATATAATTTATATTATTATATATTGATTTTTTATTAACTTATTTTTCATTTATAAAATAGTATATAAGAAAAAAAAATATTTTTAAAATTTTAATAGTTATTAAATGTACATAAAAACTTCTAAGGTGAAATTTATAATTCTAAATTGCACCCGACCATCAAATTTATTTGTCTTAGTATATCATTTAAATTTTCAATAGTATTATCAATGCATACGATTTATTCAATAGAGATGTACCTTTTTATAGTTAAATTGACAATATTTTAGAAACTTTTATTAATATTTTAAATTATTTATTAAGTTATTATGATTTAAACATAGTTATTCTGAATATTTTATTAAATATTTTAAGTACTTTGGGGTAGTGGATATAATTAATTAGATAAATACCTACAACCATAGATAATAATATATTTAATCAAATAAATTTCTACACTAATTTTTTGAATTGTGTCAATAAATTACTATTAAATTAATATAAGATTTTATTGAAAATATGTCTAAGCCAATTTGTAGTTAATGTGTAATAGTCATTGAGTGTATAAAAATTAACTATGTTTTTCATGCATAAGATTTTCTAATAAATAAAAATTAATTAAATGTCAAATATAGATGAAAAAATTTCAGCCCAAAATCATGCCAATTATAGCAATAATGATTGGTCCATTATATAAATATGATATGATTGTACACCATATTTAGAAAGGTTTTAGATTTTTTAAATCATAAAATAGGGTAGCATTAAATGCCCCTAAAATTATGGGTTTTGTTTCATTTCTAATAAAACTAGTGCATAGCTCGTGCGATGCACGTGATACATTTAATGAATTAATCATTTCCATAGGACTTGTACGTTTAGACAAAAAAACAATAGGTTTTTATCATCTATATTTCACATCTTTTAATAAGTGGCGTTTAATTTAGCCAAAAAAATTAATATGTTAATTAATATATTATTTAGCTAACACGTCAACTAATATTAATTTGATTTTAGAATACATATTTATTCATTGATATAAGAAAAAATAAAAAAGATTATTTATTCTTGTTCACCATATAATACTCAATTATTATTTTATTATAACATTTATAGTCATATAATGTCATTATTATTATATATAAAAGTTATAGAAGTAGTCTTCTTTATGTAATGAAATTCAAAATAAAATTTTGTGTATAAACATTTACAAAATACAGACACGTGTTTTTTAGAATTCAATTTTCTCATAATAATTTTTAAAAAATGACTTAGCAATTGCCAAAAAAATAATCCTTTACATATTCAAGATATATTTTTTTAATTTTCATCCTAAGGCTTTATAGTTTATTTAACATACTATGTAATAGAAAAGTATTTTACAATAAGTTCATTATAGAGACACAATAAATAACACGTCAAAATTTTAAAGAATAACTATTATATTTCAATTTTATTAGCTAGCCATCAATAAAATCATTTAATGATGTGATCATTATCTTTTAAATGGTAAATAATATTAATTAAAAAAAAAATTATTAGTTTTATATAATTAAATAAAGGTTAAAAAAATTATTGATAAATATTAATTATAATGGATACCAGTAAAATCATTGCATAAATTAATAAAATTATTTAAGGAAAGAATCTTTAAGATCATATTTAGATAAAAAATGTATATATGCAAGCATTTAATACATATAGTAAAAAAAATCCAAATAAGGTATGCATTAAATGTGTGTTGACTTTTCTTGCTATTATTTTTAGTAAATAGGTTGACTTTTAATATATATATATATATATATATTTGCATCCAAATTTATGTGTGGTTTTGAAGTGAAAATTTGAAATTCAAAATATCTTCTCATTTTAGTTACAAGAAAATCGAGTTGCATTCAACACTTGGACCAATTTAAAAACTATGCCCTAAATGAAGGAATTTATTGATAATTGTTATTTCTACTCAATCACATGACTATTTTCAATATAAATTGAGACAGATTACACTTTAGTGAATCATATATTACCTAATTCAATATTTAAACATTAAAAAATAAATCCATAGTATTATGTAAATCCGTATCTCATATTATTATATCATTAAGAATATATTATAGTAATATTATCAAATCATAAAAAATATTAAATCTATATTGTTAAAAAAAATAATTTATATAATTTTATAACAAATCTACTAAACTATCTAACAGTATTCCTTTTTATTATATAATAAAATAATAATTAAATATTATATGGTGAACAAGAATACGTAAAACTGTTACTTTCTCTTATATCAAGAGATACATTTATATGCAAAAAAATAAATTTTTGTTGGTATAAAATGTTTTAATGAGATAGTATATTAATTATTTTACAAGTTAGTCATAACATTCTCATATTTAATGTTCTGGCTACAGAAACAATGGTGGTTAAAAGATGTGGAAAAAAAACTTAGAACCTTATTGTTTTTTAGACTTGACGTTGATAAAAAGATGTGGAAAATAGATAATAAATTAATAACCCTAATACTTTTTAAACTTAAACGGACAAGATGTGAAAATAACTCATTTAATATCTTTGTAAAAATAAAATGACTAGTCTATGTAAAGCTTTTTTTTTTTTTTTATCTTTCTTCCCAGATTCTGATGTGGCATTTAACGACTGGTTGATTGCCCATCTGGGACGTGGCTCGGCAGGGCATTAAGAGATTGTACGTATGACCGTCGTCAAATGTACAACTAATAACGGATATTTTGTTAGTTTCGTAAAGGGAAAATAAAATAAGATGCCTTGTTTATTAAAAATATCTCAATCCTTTTTCTGCTGCGCGTGAATCCTAAAACCCTCTCTCGCCGTGTGTGCAAAATACACACACTGAGGGTGTGGCCGATCTGCGTGAGAGGAAAGGACAGCCATTCCTTGTTTGAAGGTCTTCTTGAATTTTGCATTTGATTTACGTTATTCGAAGTGCGTTTCTAATTTGAGAAAAATATTGATTTTTAGAAGAATTAAAACATATGCTTCTTTGTTGAATTCAGGAAAAAAGAACTATCCCTCCAATAATTAATCGAAGAGATATGTGGCATCGTCTTTGTGATTTAATTTTCTGATTGATTTTTGTTATGCTCTGGATGAAAGGATCAAATATTGAATTGCTTGATTAAAAGATAAATTTTTTTTTTATGAATCACTTTGCCATTATAATCATGGTTCAGATCATATATTTCAAGTAAAATAAAATGTCGAAAGCAGGAAAGGATATGTTGTGACTGCGTAAGGGTCTTGGAAATATCTCAACATGATAACTATTTTTTTTTTTTTTTTTCACTTACTGAGGTTTTCGATGGTGTATCATTTTTGAAGCAAACCGAGGACTGCTCAGATATATCAGGATTTAGGATGAAGAACAATGAGCGTATTGCTAATTTGGCTCTGGCAGGTAATTTCTTGTTCTGTGTCACGGTATGAATTGTGTCTTGGGCGAAGTAAAGTTCGTATTCCCCATACTTTCTCTGCTCGGTTTATGGCTGTTTTTTCCACTCCCAATATTTGTTCTAGTGTGGCAATAGAATATTGATGTGTTGTAATAGATTATTGGTTAATGGATTTATCTGAACAAATCAATGTATGGCATTTTAGATCTGTCGTTAAGCCATGATGCAATTAGTTGATATGATGTCACCATCCCCTTGTAGCTTCTTTAGATAAAATTTTTCTCTTTATTTACTTTCAGACTGGCCAGAAGACACTTTGTCTTTTGTTTATGTCTGAACAGATTTTTTTTTTTTTTAGTTATTGCCCACTTCTTTTTCCTAGAGGCTCTATGATCCTCTCTGATTTATGACTTGTAAGAATATTCAGAAACATGGATGATTTGTGCAGTTTATGTATTGTATAACAGTCTTTATTGATTACAGGATTGACCCTAGCCCCTCTTGTTGTAAAGGTGGATCCAAATTTAAATGTCATTTTGACAGCTTGTCTGACTGTCTATGTGGGGTGCTACCGCTCCGTAAAGCCAACCCCTCCATCAGTAAGTTGAGCTAGTAGATCCTTTTCCGACAATCAATAGTTGCGTCCATAACAATGTCTTTAATCTTTTCTTTTATGTTACTACTTTTTGACAGGAGACAATGTCAAATGAACACGCCATGCGTTTTCCTTTGGTTGGGAGCGCAATGCTGCTGTCTCTGTTTTTGCTGTTCAAGTTCCTATCAAAAGACTTGGTCAATGCTGTACTAACCTGCTATTTTTTTGTACTTGGGATTCCCGCTCTTTCGTACGTTCATCACATGGTCCTTTTGTAGTACTTAATGTGTTTTGTTAATTACTATAGTATGATGTTCGTAAATTCATCTTCCTATTAGCAAAGTAGACTACGCTCACGCTGTTTGTAATTTTATCTTCTTATTCTGTGTCCACTCTGCAGGGCCACACTACTACCTGCTATTAAACGGTTCCTGCCAACACAATGGAATGATAATGTCATTATATGGCATTTCCCTTATTTCCGGTGTATGTTACCTGTTCATGTCACATCATTTTGTATTTGCAGTTCCCTTTGTGGCTACTGTTCTCATAATAATATAGATTATAGATGATGCTATTAGGTAAATTCTTTTCTCCATGGGAAATTTTACATACATGCTCTGTCCACCATGATTCAGTTCTCTGGTGTGTTGGCCATAATTGTCGTATCTTCACTGATTAGAAATTAACTGTAACTTGGTGTTTCACAATTTGAAGATTTTAGAGGGTTTTATCCTAAAAATAAAAGAAGTTCGGTCTGTTTATATACTTGGTTAACTTAGTGCGCTAAAAAGGGGCATGCTTCTGAATACCAACATGCTTGGTATCATTGCTGGTGTAAGAAGGATTGAAGAACTTTAGATTCTTTAATAGACTATTTAGCTTTTGTTGTCGATGACATTTAAGTTCTCCAGCCGTTCGTCCGAGAATTTTCTTTGATTTGCTTGACTTGTAACTGCTTGTAGGATGGAGAATGATAGTTTTCTCTTTGTTGTACAGCTCTGGAGGTTGAGTTTACTAAATCACAGATTGTTGCTGCAATTCCTGGAACCTTCTTTTGCGTGTGGTATGCTTCAAAGAAGCACTGGCTAGCTAACAATATCTTGGGTCTTGCATTCTGCATTCAGGTTGGATAACAAAACAAACTTTATTGTTTGCCAATATCCCACCATCTTTTGCAGTATTGGGAAAATGCATGAAATCAATCTTACCATAAAATTCAAACTTCTGTATCAGCGACTTACTCTAATATAGTTTGTAAGTTTTTTGTAGAAAAGACTCAAGTGTTTGTTTTCATGTTCCTTCTGTTTTCAAAACAATTTCAGGGAATTGAAATGCTTTCACTTGGCTCTTTCAAGACTGGTGCTATTCTCTTGGTGAGCGTGGAATTCTTGATTTGGAGTCCAAATTCAAGTTACTGTATTAAAAGTGATGTTCCTTCCAATTGCAGGCTGGTCTTTTTGTATACGACATATTCTGGGTCTTTTTTACTCCAGTTATGGTTAGCGTTGCAAAATCTTTTGATGCTCCCATAAAGGTTACACACTTACATGACTTTGTAGCTCGGTGATTATGACTTGTCATTTATCGTGCTCATTCATTTTTTTCTTAAAAAATTTTCTTCCTTTTTGCAGCTCTTATTTCCTACATCAGATGCCACACGTCCGTTTTCTATGTTAGGACTGGGTGATATAGTTATTCCTGGTATGAACTTTAATTAAAAAAGTCTGATTTATCTTGCAGTACAAGTACAGTTTGTCTGTTGTTTCTCCACCTGCTAGGGATATAGCATCATTGGGAGTGGATAGTGTGCTTATTTGATGAAAATCTCTTTTACACTTCTTTTCTTGTTAGTACTTGAAAGAGACTTGTGAAGGATAATTACAAAATGTACCCTTCGTGCTTAACATAGTTAAGGAATTGCTGTTACCACAAGTTAATCAAACTTCCGCTAGACCCCTCCCCTTAACCAACCATGTTTGGAAGCACATAAAAACAAAATCTCGAAAATGAACTGAAACTCTATTGTTTTTGGTGCCCGTTCTTGCTCCCACTTGAGGTTTATTTTTTTTTAACAATTAGCATCATATTGAAGGGAGTAATTTGTTAAATATAAACATAATAATCTTGAAGGACTCTGCTACTTTTCTTAGCTAGTTAAAATTTGAGATTGTTCATAATTTATAACTAGTTAAGTTGGTTAATAGTGGTGTTTTGTTTTCCAGGAATCTTTGTGGCGTTGGCACTAAGATTTGATGTGTCCAGAGGGAAAGAGAGCCGATATTTTAAAAGCACTTTTGTAGGATATGCGGTTGGCGTAGTTGCCACAATTATTGTCATGAACTGGTTTCAAGCTGCACAGGTGGACAATCTTCTCGTAAAGTTCAGATTATTTAATGATAGGCCTATTTTGTTATCTGAGTTTTCACATTCTTAATTCTTGCAGCCCGCACTGTTATATATCGTGCCTGGTGTCATTGGGTTTTTGGCCGCACATTGCTTATGGAATGGTGAAGTCAAACCTGTGAGTTTATTCACCATGTCTGCTGTGCATAATGTTTTAAAGCTCAGATTCTCCATCAATAATTGCCAATCATGTGACTTGTTTTTGGAACATGTTATCCCAACTATCTGGACATTGAGCCGGTGATTATATGAGAAAAGAAAAATATAATAAAATAAAATAGCCTTCCCAGAAAACGCAAAGAAAAGCCATATCATCATGTGATTGCTTATGAGAATTATCAGGAAAAAAATAAATTGCTATTAATTAACCAACAATTATTTTTTCCCACACCAATCACATCCAACTTTCTGAAAACAAGTACTAATCATTACCGATTATACATATTTTCGCAGATGCAGTCATAATTTTTCGGTCACAAACTGTACATTTGTGCGAGTATAACATAATTTGCATTGTGCAACTTTTTTCACCTTCGTATGTTGTATTATGATTCATTTGACATGGTACTATCTTTTTTGTAGTTACTGGCATTCGACGAGTCTAAAACAGGTATCACTGAAGAAAGTGATGAAGATTCGAACAAGAAAGCAAATTGAAGGAAAAACATAGTTTAGCTGAAAGTTTTAAGTTTCACATTGAAAGAATGTCGATGACATATAAAAAGGCTTTTCAGATGAGAGACATAACTTATGCACCAGACTGTAACACCAGATTTGGTTTTATTGTCAAATACATATATGAAGCCTATTAGATTTATGAATGAGATCCCATCATCAGCTTTTTATATTATTTATATTGTCTGGGAATATCTGTATTACCCGTTTTGCTAATGTAACACTATCATTGTATCCCGGTGTTTCAGAAGATATGCAAATATTATATAATTGTCCATCTAAATTATGTTTACTTTTTGTAAGGGACAAAGGAAATATAACTCGGTAACTATTACACTCACCAACTTATATTAATTCTTTTTCAGTAAAGTACTAATGCTCAACTCTCAATGATATGACTAGCAGTGTTTTTATTTTATTTTTTTTTTATTTTTTATTTTTTTTTTATATCGAGGTTTCAGGCTTAAGCACTAGGTCTTCAAGACAAAAGCTGAAAAGATGCCACAAAATAATTTCCATCAATTAAAATCAAGAAAGAACAATCAAGTACTAGGCCAAGAAAAATTAAGTACAAGGCCAAGAAAAATGTCTCGAGTATAGATAGATTATCATGGTTTTCTAATCATTGTTCACATTATTAATATTGGCTTAGACAAAATCATTGTTCACTGATACTGATAGTTCACCTATAGCTAATATTGCAACGATAAAGTTTAAAATGAGAACCTTGAACATCTGTACACAACTTTGCCATCACACGTCATACATATTTTGTTCCCACTCTTCACTTTCCCTTAATCCACTGAAGAACTTGTTTCAACACTTTCCTCGCCATCGCTAAAACTAGTCGGCATCTCTGTTCTGGACCTAAATCATAAAAATAGTTGGGCAATATTAGTGAAAAATGAAAAAGCTGGTGCTAAACGTATCCAGAAATTGCATACTGACATACATTCAGGTTTGCATTATTTTTGTGGATATAAGTGGGTCTGCTATTAAGAGAATAAAATTAAATAATTTGTACTTCTCCAGAACAATTGTTTTGGTCCTTTGATATGTCCACAGTCCTGCCTTAATAACACATGTCTGCTCTATGATGTGAATTTTAATTTCTTTAGAAAATGATGACAATAATTAAAACTGTTATTCAACATGAACAAAATCTGAAATGTTTTCGGATAAAATAAAATAAAAACCCTTCCATCCAGATAAAAATTAAAATATTAGCCATCTTGGTACCTTCAAATAATTGTGTGTGCAGATATCTTAGTAAATGTTGATTTGAAATAGCCCAACACAGCCACCAATTATCTAGCAATTAAAATCATACCTTACAACTAGATACTTATGTGGTTGGTTATCCACGAATGATGATCTTTTCTGGTATTGCTGCTGAGGGAATTCTTCCCTCTTCCGTTTTGGAGCCTACAAATACAAACGCGAGGAAAAAGGTATATCAATGTTGTAGCCAAATATACTATCAAAATAGGTCCTCATGTAAGCCAGATAACTTACAGCAAGATCATTCTTGAAGGGATTCGCGACTGGGTTTTCATCTATCATCCTCCTATTAGAGTACATCATTTTACCATCCTGAGCACATCATAATCAAAACACATAATATCAGCACCAGCAAAAATATATTGCTCATAAGATGCAAGAAAATGGGACAAGAGATGCCCCTACCATTTAGTCTACATTATTAAAAGAAAACACATTTTGATTATTTCTGTACCACAAACTACATCCTTAATCGTGAGAATGTGTTGAAAAGACGCGACCTCAAGCAGGTGTTTGCAGTACCTTATGAGAGAATATGCTTTAAAAAGAAAAGAGCAAGTTTTGTATCTATTCCAAGTCTAACCTTTACAATCTGTCTGGACATCCCCCTTTCTCCTGAAGAACCGTAATACTCATTTCCTTTCTCAGTCACATTGCAAAACTCGTTTTCCGTGTTTTCTCTAATGGAAACCTTTGGGCCTACATCACTATACTTGCAAAACTGAGACTCCATTCGTTCCTTCCTCACTTTCCCACCACAAGGCTGCAAATTAGAGTTTCCCGTAAAAGAATCCGATCTCACAACCTCTACACGAGACACGACTCTCACCCCATACTCATTCCTACTCTCACTACCTCGTGCTTCTACCACAGAGGTGCTCGGTGGATAATAAATGCCATTGGTGGACATAGATGGAGGTTGTCTGAACTTGTGGTGTGTGTGAGTATCATGACTATCATAGGCACGCCTCATCTTAAAGCTCCTCTTGCGAGCGTTGGGGTTTTCAAAAGCCATGCTGTGCTTGAATTCACGTCCCTGAACCATACATTGAACCTAACTGAGTTAACTCGTGGTTTTAAAAAAAATAAAGAAATAAACTTTTGCTGCTTTTATACACTTCAATAATAGTGTGTATAGGATATGCATGTTGAGGGGACAACAAATCATACCAACCTAAAGAATATTTCAGCTACTGAAAACCAGTTTCAAGAAAATATAGAAATCTGAATTTCAAGCATTGAATATATTCTTCAATATGCTAAATCCAGTTACTGCTTTTATACAGGACAATAATGAATATATTCTTCAATATGAAGTACACTACCGTCATGAACATCAGTTACCAGATGCTAAATGCTAAAGCAAGTTTAACCTTTGTTTTCACATTTTATGCACCTCAAAAAATTGCAAGACTAAGTGCATCATTTGTAACTCATAAATGATCAGTATAGATAACATAACTTGTAGATATGGAACTTCAGATTTGTAATGGTGATCACTTCTCAAGCAAGACAATTACTAAACATTACACCATTCAACTCAAGCTCAAACAATCTAAAAGTTGTTATGGAAACCTCACCTTGCTGATATTTGGATTCTGTTGCATTTCCGAAACATCAGTTGAGGCAGGGAGAACATCTTCTCCATCATAGTAATTTTCTGACAAGAATTCACATTAGAAACACGGTTAGCTTGACGGACAGCTTCTTTTAAAAGAAGAAAAACAACCACCTCCCCCCCACCCCCACCT